GCCTGCCAATCCCTCTCCTGCACGAGGCATGATCCGACTATGGTTGCTCGAGATCTTTGCGCATGGCGGATCCTTGGCAAACATCTTTAGATGGAGGCAGGTCCCCTTTGCTCAGGAACAGATGCACGCTGGCATGATGCGCCCCGACAATGTGCCGGATGCGGCTTGGCACGAACAGCAGGCGGCGGCGAGGGATGTGCGAGCGATGGAGCGCGTGGGTGTTTTGAGTCGTCGGGATGGGCATGCTGCTGCTGCTGCAGAGGAGGAGCAGCATGAGCTGCGATGGACTTTGAACAGAACGACGCCCAAAGTGGCCCTCGTGTTGGATTATACGGCGGCTATGCTGCTCGAAGTCAACCCGCAAGGTGGCAGGTGGGATACGAACACGTTCAAGGATTACGCTTTTCAGTATCCCGAACTGCTTACGGAGTGGTATAGCGCGCTGCGTCGATTGGCGTTGGATGTGGATGTGATCGGACCGGATACGTCGCTGGCGCATTACACCCTCGTCCTCGTTCCTACCATGTGAGCGGTGTGGCTTAATTGCTTGTCAGCGCGTCCTAACTTCCCCAAGCCTTGCTCACGCGCTCACGCGCTCACACGCGCGCGCGCGCACAGGCCCATCATCTCGTCCGAATTCGACCGACACCTGGCAAACTACAATGGAACGGCAGTCTTTGGTCCTCGCACAGCATCCAAAACCTCCAACGTATCCATCCCTCACGGACTAGCGCCGTCCAGCGGAGCCTTGCGAGATCGCATGCCGCTAAAAGTGGTGCGCGTCGAATCTCTGCGCGAGGGACTGGACGATAGCGTGTCGTTGCAGGGGGCAACGTATGCCGTCGATACGTGGTCCGAATGGCTCGAGTGCGAACGGGACAATGTGCGAGCTAGCGAACCTTCGCCAGTCTTGTACCACACGTATCGCGCGGGAGAAGCAGCTTCGTGCGAGCACATCACGTCCGACGCAAAGGTGCGTGGCAGCCCACATTTACAGCCCCGCTTTCAATATACACGCTCACGCGCACGCGCACGCGCACGCCGGCCACGCTTTGCGCTCCTCCCCCTGCCCTGCCCACTCAACGCAGCACACAATCTACCTAGGCTACTATGCCCGCTCCAACTCTCTCATTCCGCTCTTTGCCTCTCTTGCCGCTCGTTTGCGCATCAAAAACGTTCTGAACCGTCTACCTAGCGCATCGGAAGACCTGGGCGAGTACGTGCGACTGACGAGGTACGCTGATACGCTCTTTGCTTTCAACTACGACGACAAGAGGGCGCGAGAGGTGCGTGGTGTGCCGAGCGATGCGGTCAGCATTTTTGGGCAAGAAGAGCAAGAGGACCATCTCATCGGCCCGGCGGGTGTTCGCGCGTGGAAAATGTCCTAGCGCACGCGCACGCGCAGGCGCGGGCGCGCGGAGGGGGGGGGGGGGGGG